AGAATCTTTCTCTCGAAAACTCCAAGAGCCGCCTAATCAGATGCTTTCATTGTCCATGCTTCCGCGCCATACACCAGCACAGGCATGATGAGTGACTTATAGAGTGTGATCTTTGTACGACGAGAGAGAACTTTACTTCTCAATTGCCTACTCAGCCCAAAGTAGCACTTGTTGGCAAGAGTGATTCTCCGTTGGATTTCAAGGCTGACATTATTATTGGTGTTAATGCTGGTTCCCAAATAAACGAAGTCGTCTACTTTTTCAAACTTGTAACTGTCAACAGTGACGTGGGTGCCAAGACGCGTATGCTCTGACTGTTTGTGTGCTGACAGGAGATACTTCGTTTTGTCCTCGTTCACCACCAGACCCATTCGCTTTGCTTCTCTATCCAATCCCGAGAAGGCAGAACAGACGTAGCCCTTGTTTTTACCGATAATATCGATGTCGTCGGCATACGCCAGCAATTGTACGCTCTTATAAAGTATTGTGCCTGAGCGGTTCAGTTCTGCGGCTCTTATTATCTTCTCCAACATAAGATTAAAGAAATCACACGAAAGGGAGTCCCCTTGTCTGAAACCTCGTTTGGTATCAAACGGCTCGGAGAGGTCCTTCCCTATTCTGACGGAGCTGGTGGTATTGCTCAACGTCATTTTACACAGCCGTATTAGTTTCGCGGGGATACCAAATTCAGACATCGCGGCATAAAGGCAACTTCTCTTCGTGCTGTCGAAAGCGGCTTTGAAATCGACAAATAGATGGTGTGTGTCGATCCTATTCTCGCGGGTCTTTTCCAAGATTTAGCGTATTGTGAATACCTGATCTATGGTGGATTTTCCAGGCCTAAAGCCACACTGATAAGGTCCAATCAGCTCGTTGACGGTGGGCTTCAGTCTTTCGCACAATACGCTCGATAAGACCTTGTAACCTATGCTTAGAAGGCTAATTCCGCTGTAGTTGGCGCGTATGGCGGGGTCGCCTTTCTTGTGGATTGGGCAGAGCACACTTAAATTCCAGTCGTCGGGCATGCGTTCATCTGACCATATTCTGCATACGAGCTGATGCATGCACCTCATCAGCTCCTCGCCGCCGTACTTGAATAGCTCGGCTGGCAGGCCGTCAGCTCCAGCAGCTTTGTTGTTTTTCAGCCGCGTAATCGCTATTCGTACCTCGTCATAGTCAGGCGGTGGGACAGCTACTCCATCATCATCGACTGGGGGCTCGGGTTCGTCTTCCTCACTACTTTCAGCGCTGCTACCATTCAGTAGGTTATAAAAGTGTTCCCTCCACAATTTAAGTATATTCTGGACATCGGTCACTAGGTCGCCATTGTTGTTCTTACAGGAGTTCTTAAAACGGTTGTAGTTTGAAAATATTTTGAAAGGGATTGCTATCTATTTAGAAATTCAAATTTAAATTAATTATTCGCAGGCTACCTGAAAAATTAAAATATGAGTGTCGAACGACAGATTGCTATGAAACCTTCAGATTAAATATTTAGAATATCATTGAGGTTTTTTACTAAGGTTGCCACACGTTTAAAAATTAAATTCAATTCATGTAAATATGGGCGTCAATCGAATTATTTTTGAAAAGGGTTTTAGCTCTTAACTAAATGAAGAGCGGTTGCCATCTGTTTAAAGAATACAATTCTAATTGAATTGAGGGAATTAGATTATTTGAATATGTTTCACAATATGGGTGTCATAACAAAGAGGTTTAATACTGTTTTAGTTGGAAAATAATTTGGAGAGGGTTACCACCTGTTTTAAAAGTCGAATTCAAATTAGTTATACTCAAATTAAAGTGTCACACGTAAGAGAGCACAATAGATCATTAGGTCGCAGTGCATACCTCATAAATTATCAAAGAGAGTTTAGAAATGTTCAGCTTGAACAAGTAGAATCTTCTGTGGTGTTTGAAGAGGGTTACCACCTGTTTAAAAACTAAATTCAAATATAATTATATTATAAGTTAAATGAGTTATTACAGTATAGGTTTTAATCAAAAGAGTCTAGAAAAGTCTTTATTTCTAAAGGCCGGTCCACATATAACTTCCGCGTTGGCTTTGGCGTTGGCGTTGGTTTGACAGAACGCACGTTAAAAGTATGCTTGCTGCAATGAACGCCTGGCAGCGAATGCTTGGGCTACTAAATTAACGTACTAACGACAGATAAATTAATATTTCATATCAATAATTGCATTAAAAACAATATCTCTTACCCGCACTTGATTAAAAAGGAAAAATATTTCGCATAATTTTATTTATTTGCGACAGCGGACGAGCGACGCGCGCGAAAAGATGAGAGTTGGCCATCTTTTTGCTTTGTGTCGGCGTGAGCGTTGTCGAATTTTGGCTATGTGGACGGCTGCATTTGAATTCACGTATTCATAGTCAGCTGTTGAAGTGACGCCAACGCCAACGCAGGGCCAAAGTTCTATGTGGACGGGCCTTAAGCAACATATTAAAAATTCAAATTCAACTTGAATTACACTCTAAAAAGTGCATGTAAAACTACTACTGAAAAGTGTTTATTTTTCAACCAGAAT